GGACAGTGCCAGGGTTCTTTTGGCGGGTTTCTTGCATAATGTGCCGTAACTTCGGGTCATCTCTGATTGAGGGTGGCGGCGCGAGGTGCATGTTTCTGAAAAGCTTGGGCGCTGGGCATGGTGCAGAACTTGTCGCTGCACTCAGATGCCAAAGCGTCTCAAATCAACAAAGGTCACAAGACGAAGCATCCTTGCATTACTTTCCCTGAGGCGGGACAGCTAGACCCCTGGCACAGAACCATACACCAAGGACTAAGGTTGCACTTACGTGAACATCAGCAACCCCACGAAACTCTGAGGTGGGGCCAAGTGCACCTAGTACGTGCTGGCTTTCTGACTGACTCACAAGATAAGGACTCCAGTAAGTTGAGCATCACGCCCTAGGTGAATGCGAAACGCTAGAAATTGAAACATCTTGAAACCGTTGCCTCCAATCCTATACCTCAAATCTTGAACAGTAGTCCTGTGACCTTAAACCTTGGACGGCTGCACGCTTGCTTTGCAGGATGCCACTGCACCAACCACACCGGCAATGCTGCATCATTTAGGTTTTCTCAAGGCATGCGCTTGGGAGCAGTTCTAGGGTCCAGGCGGGTGAGAAATTTTACGGTCTTTGGCCCCGTCATTGAGGCTGTAGGAGTGTTGTGGACGCGTTGGAACGTTTAGAGGGGCCAGAGTGTAGAGCTGCAAGCTCTAGCAATCAGGTCTCCGCCCCCTGCAACGTGCAACGCCTTGTTCCAATAGCTGCTCTTCGAGACAACTTGCTGCTTTAGCCGCTTTAGCCTTTCTTGTTAAAGGCAGGTAAGACCTCATGACTTCAACCCGTACTGCCACCCGGCTTTGGTGTAACTTTGGGAGTTAGATGACTCCAAGCCAGACTCTGGTCGATGAGGGCAAACTCTTTACCTTGCAAGTGTTGAGCTGGCTTCTAGACTGGACTGTTTTGTCGAATGCACAGATACCTTGGATTTGATGACATGTGGTATGCTTGGGTGGTAGATCGGGATGCCAGTCTTCAGGGCATCGTGTACCTATACCTGTCCAAGCTCCACGGGTGTTTCATATTGCTTTCGTGGTAACCGTAGGAAATAGAATTGGAATTGGACCCGCAGCAGGAAACAAGCTTTCTTAATACGCGCACCAGATCAGATACATCATGCAACAAAGCCGTGTTGCGTATGAAAGCAAATATGGAACAGCCAGCTCGCCGCAGGATCAGGTGGAGGATCTGGGGAAGCTCATGACTTTCGCCTATCTCCGGCTGGGTGAGGCACTGGATGAACACATCTTAGATCTTCGTGATTTTGAGGATTCTGCAGTTAATGTGCTTCGATATTGGTAGTTCGTAGTTGGTTAATGTGACCCTGCCCTTCAAACTGCAGGAACCCAGATGTTCTTCGGGCGTTTGCAAGTTTTGTTTAGGGCTCATATCGGTGGTTGCTCCAAAGCTCCACTCGTCACTGGGAATCCTGCAAAACACTACTGGTATCTGCAGGGTTTAGGGTTTAAGGGCTTAAGGGATTACGGTTTAAGGGTTGAAGAACTTGAGGATTTCAGGGTATAAGGGGTTTAAGGATCTGCGGGTTTTGGCCTAGAGGGTTTATAACCCCTTTAGAACCCCTATATAACCCCTATAATCCTTATATAACCCCTATAATCCCTAGGGTTTATGGGTCTCCGAGCTTTGCCTCTTCTTCCCTCCGCCCATGTGAAGGTCAAGGCCATGGATTGGGCGCCCTTCCGTCGACGTCTGCAGCCCCGTCCTTGGAGTAACCTCCCCCAAACGAACATGCAGCGCCCTATAGTCCCCCTAAAGTAGATAGAATATGGCTTTGGGAGTATTATCATAAGACCCCATATACCCCATATTCTATCTACTTAAGGGGACTATAAACCCTAAACCCTAAATAGGGTCCCCTGCAGGTGCCATGTTAGTTTGGGGGGTACAGGGGTCGAGCTTCAGGACAGGATCGGGGAAGAGAGATTGGGGTATTTCTGAAGGGCGGCGACCCCGTGTAATCCTCAAATATTGTAATCTCCATTCTGAACACGCTCAGCAGAGTCCATAATTTTGTGAGCTCAGGCTTTTGGGGTTTACAGGAATTTAGTGCCTATTATATTATAGTAGGTTCCATTTTCTTTTCCATTATCCCTATATAACCCCAATATGACCCCAATATAACCCTGATATAACCCCTATGTAACCCCTATAATCCCTGTACTTTCCATTTTCTTTTCCATTATCCCAATATAACCCCAATAACCCTACCTGCTCAGGTGTGTAGATCTTGTGCTCGGCTTTTCATGGCAGTAGCTGACCTGTTTTGTCTGGCAGATGCTGGCATCTATCTTCCCGAGGGCTGCTTGGGAACTCCAACAAGTGCGGGTGTCCTAAAATTAGGGATACCTCTATTGGGGGTCCCCTTATTTTGGGAATCTACCAAGTATAGTAAGGCTGTTCATACGACACCTTACACGGTGGACAAGATGCTGGAACCTCAGACTTCAAAATCTAGATACTGTAGGGGCCTCAACAATTACGTACCAATATTATGGTTCGATGTTCCTTGCATAATTATTGTATATGGTACCTCAAATGGACCTCAAAATGATATTGGTAATTATTTAGGCCCCTGTAGCACGCCCATGCACACAACAGGTATAGCCAACAGATCCCCAAAATGAGGAGCGACTTCAACCCCCAGCCTGCATCGGCGAGCCCTGAGAACCCCCAAATCCCAAAATCCCTACATCCCTAAACCCACAAACCCTAAACCCACAAACCCTAAACCCACAAACCCTTAAGCCCACAAACCCTAAACCCACAAACCCTAAACCCAACCCAGTACCTGACACTGAAACCAAGGTTCTTCACAAAGCGAGGCCTGCATGGAATGGAGCTAACAGACTTGGAGCGCCGACCTTCCGAGTTGGGTGCTCAGCTGCGGGCTTTTTGGTGTTTGAGATAGGGGGTTTTTGGGATGTGGAGCAGGTTTTTTTGAGGATTCCCTGTAGGGTTTATAGACAGTCCGCTTGAGATGATTTCGGGATTAGAGGGGTTTGATATGTTTGAGCTTTAGTACTTGCCTGAGTTCTGTGAGGATTAAAAGAGTATGAGATTTTTCGGGTTTGGAGTTGGTCTTGGTTGGTGTTTCAAATCTTAGTGTGAAAAGCGAGGGCATGGGGCCAGGTCTGGCTTAGTTTCAGAGGTTTAGGCTTGGGGGGGCTCAGCTTGCAGGAACTGCAGGTCCAAGGTCACAGAGGCCTAGAAATGCAGTACCTAAACCCTAAACCCTAAAGTCTAGGCTGTTTCACAGGCACTGGTAAGTCGAATCTTGCCATGATATTGCAAGCTTTCAGACTCAAAGCCCTATAGGGATGTATAGGGTTTATATAGGGGTATCTAGCTCGTATAGGGCTATATAAGGTTTACACCCCTAATTCCAAAAAAATACCCTACTGCGGCTTGAGCCTTGCTGCACCAAGGGATGCCATGCTGAAGGAACTTCTAGTCAGCTTGCAGAGGAAGGCGGGGTTTAGGGTGTAGGATTTGGGGTTTAGGATCTAGGGTTGAGGATTTGAGTTTCTGGTAGGATTTGGGGTTTAGGGTTTGGGGCTTGGGGGTTGGGGTTGCGGGTTTGGGGTCTAGGATTTAGGGTTTGGTGTTGTGTACCTCAGTATTTCCCACTCTTTTCCTTGCGCCCCCATGTACTTATTAGCTTATAGACTATCGACTAGAAAGGCGTTTCACCCTAACTATGCAGACCTGCATTGCATGTAAGATGTGGGAATTGGCTCCAACCTCCTTTGCAGTTGTGTAGCATTTCTACCGGATGCATGCAGGGGGTTCTGCAAGGATCCCTTTTGTCCCCAGTTGAAAAATAGAGCTCTTCATAATCTCACCACAGAAGCGTAGCGTAGCAGCATCACAACAGGACAGAGGTTTCGACCTTAAATGGATAATGGAAGCTCAAATGGAAACTATAGCGGTTATATAGGGGTTATATAGGGATTATAGGGTGTATGTACATATATATACATATGGGGATATACAGACATATATGGAGATAAGTATGGAGAATCAAGTTGAAAGTGACATGGAAAGTATCAGATATGTGACAATTGGTTTCAGAGCAGTCGAAGCAAAAGCCTCCCTGTCAGCTTCAGCACTCCGAATCCGCTGTACTTCATGGTCAGGTATAACCCCCTCCCCTAATAAGAAAACCATGCACTCCCAGAACGCAGGCATGTACATATATATATATATACATATATATAGATAAAACTTATATGTACTCCCACTAGAGTGTGATACAAAACTTGTGAACATGTATTGCATGAGTTTGGCCCTGTGTTTTGTTATTAGGGGAGGGGACAACTGACACTGTGTAGCCCATGCTGCAAACTGAGTCGCTGTAAAATTGCCCGGCTGAAGCTCCTCATCGGGCCACCTGCATCAGGGTGAAAAATAGGAACCTAAGGAATTAGAATGATGAGGAATCACGTGGAAAAACATTGAAAATGACATGATAACTGAAGTTAGATACAGTACTGTTTAGAGCCTTTTTTAACTTTAGGTTTCAAGGTTGGGGTGTTGAGCTTCCCGCATTTCTCCGGCAAGCTCAATGGCTCTTCGCCCCTGGAGCCCCAGAAGCCCAAACCCTGTAAACAGCAAGCTCCAGAGCGCAAAGGCATGCACTATATTAACCCTGTATGAACTAGAGTCTAGACTACTGACTGGGGATTATACAGGGGAGTATTATTAGGTTATTCAGGGGGATACTAGGAGTCTAGACTATAACTCATATACTCCAATAGAATCACTGCTGAACCCTGTATACCCCTGTATACAGTACTAACTGTATAAATCCTAATATGGCCCTCCAGAGCTGAATCCTTTCCTTTGCTCTAGCGTGATGAGTCTCAGGTGAGACGCAAAGCCTTGCATTTTAATTGCTAAAATTCGAACCTGAATCTGAAATATAGGAGCTGCAGGTGCAATGACTGCTCAGGATGTTCCTTTGTACCCTACCCCAAACTCGCATGGAAATTTGTATAGCAGCTTTGGGCACGGGTAGCCCTCATATGATTCAGGTGGAGCTGGCTGTGGGCAAGTCCAACATGCTGGGGATGTTTGAGGTGGGCCATTGATGGTTTGGGTGCTTAGGGTTTCGGGATTTTAGGGTTTTGGGTTTAGTGTAGAATTTTGAGCTTCTGCAAACTATAAGTCTAGTATGCCCCGAAGGACGTTGTCTATCTAGGTAGCCTGCATAAGAATAGCATCCTTCCCTCCGTTTGGGGACACCCAGGATCTGACCATAAATTGAACATATACCTATGTAGTAGTTGGAGGGTCAGGGTGACTTAGTAAGTAGGTTAATACTGGGCATAACTAGGGTTGCTATATGGGCTAAAGGGGTTGCTAACCTGCTTACTAACTAAGTCCCCTGACCCGGCAAGTATTGTAAGTATTCTTATGGAGGTGATGTGTCAGGGTAGATGTGTGGTGGCGCAAGGCGTCATTGTGGTCGCCAAATTACACTTGCTGCACATGTAGAGTGTCTGTGCTCACAGTCGTTTTTGGTATTTCTGGCAGCTCGCGCAACTGAAGTGCTGTCATTTGGCTCAGATTCTCTTCCTCCGAGGTTTGCTATCACATCCTTGTTCCATATCGCTTCGAGGTGCAATGCGCATCCTTTTGGCCGCTTACATTGCAGCTGCTGGCGCTTCGCGCACTTCCAGCCTTTCGGACACAGCCCTCCAAGCAAATGCCTCTGACCCTGGGCCGGCCCCTGCATGGTGTCGTCCTGAGAACTTCGTGAACTTTGAGCTCAGCAACAGCTGGTTTTCTGGCAGTGTTAGGAAGAAAGCCGACCAGCAATGCATGGGTCTTTGGGGTATCAGGGGACAGTTCCCAACAATTACAGTTTTCGAGGGTCGCTTTATGCAGGATGAGTGCAAGGAAGGCGTGCGGATTGGACACGCCCTGTGCGCTCAGGACACCGCAACAGGGCCCAGCATCGCCCCAGAGGAGATCATCGAGTACTTTGAGAGCGGCCTTCCCACAGCTGCGGGCCAACACTGGGAGGAGCTACGCTCTCACTGGTGCACACAGAGTCCGCCACCCATGTGGACAGGGTTCAAGGATTGCTTCCATGCCTGCCAGTACAAACACGTAGACTGCGACCAGGTGCCAGGTTGCCGACTCTGTCGCCAAAGTGCTCAAAATTGCGAGGGTGTCCGGGACAAGCCTTATGTGGACAACTACGGAAGGCCGACTTTCATCAAAATGGCTGTCCGAAACTACCGCTTCTTTGACGCCTGCATAGCCGGTTGCGGCTCCTATGTAGAGCTGAAGATGAAGGAGAAGAAGAAAGGAGGGCCTGCATGCCAATTAGGCAAAGGGCGCCTTCAGATGTACCGGACCAGCAACCCAGGATTAGCCAAGCTGTGATTCATTTGCCTTCAACCGACAAGATCTCATCTCAAGTCTTCAACTGCCATAAGAGCTTACAGCTCACCCGCACTTCGGAAAAATCACAATGAGCCGCGCAACTGTGACATGGTAGCTTGCATGTCGCGAACTCATGTAGTTTCAGCTTAGGGCTTGATTGGGTGCGTAGCCCCCTGCAGGGTGCAGGTACATGATGGGAGAGGACAGGAGTCAGCTTAGCAGAGTTTTCGATCATTTTGTGATTCTTACGGATGTAAACGAGCTTGAAGGAGAGTTTTTACAGACTTTCTCATGAAGCACTGAAGCAACTTGCTTCCAAGCGGTTAGACAGACTTCCGAGCCCAACAAGTTTGGCATCTCACTTAAACTGTTTGTGAAGGACTCGCTCCTACCCAAAGCATGAGGCTTCCCTACGACATCAAGGCACACTTTCCGAATTCTCTAGGCTGACCCTAACTTTGGTAAATGCCCGATTATAAACACTCATCGCCAGTAAAGTTCACATGAAGAATCAGGACCCTTATGTGTCGGGAGTGTTTAGGAGGCTCTTGGGGTTTCTTGCACTCATACACAAAAAGGAAATTCATCTATACTCATCTTACGTACCGGGTCATAGCATAGCACGGCTCAGGTGGAGTTCGACGGCATTAGCGTCCCCAGCTGAGCATCCGAGGTCATCCTAATGTGCCCCAATCTTTGGGGTTCTACCCACTATTATGAGACTAGAATGATTAGGAGTACACGCAGTGCTATGCTTATTCTTGTCGGGAATTATCCTGGCAGAGCCCAGGTAGAGTAAAGGCAAGTGCCTTATTCGAAAATCAAGCACTCCGCGCAACCAATCTGAAACACTCGCTACACTGGCCCAACTTTGAATACATCCTCGGGTTAGAAAAGCGTCATGGATTCCAACAGCGATGGAATCATCGGAAGGGTGTGGGTTGTGGACATGTACAGATGAAGGTTTTGGGAGAGCTCTCAACATAATAGCCTCTGCAGGTCCTGAGTATGCCGCCGATTAATGGGATGCGCGAAACGGGGCCATGAATTTGACCAATCTTCAAAATTTCGGGATTCGGCGTTCAGAGGTGTAGGATAGAAAGGTTTGAACGTAGGAGCTCATCACTTTGGAATCTTCGGTTCAGGGAACTAAGTCTCAAATTGCGAGATCTTTGCAGTACCTACTAATTACGACAGTACCAAAAATTGGTGGTATGTTCTCTCACCCCCCAACCGGTACCATGCCGCCCTGGATTGATGGAGATGCATCCAGCGGCCCCTTGATATATGCAGCAATCGTTTTTGGGGCATGTTCGCTGGATCATGCACTTCCCTATTGATTTCAGTGGCCATGTTTCCTCCTAAACCCTAAACCCTAAGATGTTGATCTTAGCCTTCAGCCATTGCCTCCGCCAGAAGTCAGCTCTGAGCTAAAGCGCTGCGCTCTTCAAGCCCTCACCTCCAAGCCCTATATTAGGGTTATATTAGGGTTA